TAAAAGGGTATTTCCCCAACTTTTAAATTGCGAGGAGAACCAGAATTCCTTGGGACCTTATCCAGTTTAATATACTACCAGTGGACGACAGGCGTTTAACTGGTATCAACAACAAGCCAGAAGAGTACTAGTGTTTGATTTTCAGAAAGAAATTTTAAGCCATTGTATCTCGGACGTAGACATTTTACGACGATGCTGTGCTCAGTCTAGAACCACACTCATGGAACTAGTTAAAGTAGACCCCTTTCAGAAATCCCTCGCTTTTGCCAGTGCGGCCAATTTGGCCTACTGTCCAGGATTCATGCCCTAGGATACCATCATTTCAAACATGGGTTATCAATATTCCGCCAAAGCCTTACGCTAGTTAACGCTCTTGAGCTTTTGAGAAGATTTTTTTGCCTTAAACTTTATTTAAAAAATTCTGCCTAATGTTTTAATTCTTACATTAAATTTGGATTCTACAATGCCAATTAAACTATATTCATTCAAAACTCCATGATTAAATTCCATGATACCAAAAGCATTAAGTTAGGAACTATATTTTGTGGCGGAAGGTTTTTCAGATGAAAATGATCATTTTTTTTTTCTTTCAAAGTATTTAAAGTATGTTAAGTATGGATTCCTATTTTTCCATGCAGCCTGCACACAGGGTTATTCTCTGTCGTAAACTGTTTTATGCTGGAAATATAGCAAATATATTGTGAAAATCCAGAAAAATAGCCCTAATTTAAGCTTAAAATTAGCACTATTTTAGTAATATCTAAAAATTAACATCGCAGACCCCAACTTTTAATATTTTTTCTGCATATATAAGATACTTTTAACCATTCTTCTTAAATTTAGTAAAATATCATTACTTTCAAATGATTTTTTGGCTTGTTAAATTTTTAATACCAGAAAAATGAATTTTTTTGAGTTCAAAAATGTCAAATAACTGAACATGCGAAGTATTTTGAAAATTTCTTTGTTGTCACAAATTCTAATGTGTCTATTCAAGTTGAAATAAAACTGTGTTTGTTCCCATAATTAATTTGAATAAAAAAAATTGGAGAAAAAACTTTAAAAATTGATTGGTGTGCAAGACGTATTTACAGTGCAAAAAGGTCAAACTAAATCCTCTGTAGCACCAAAAGAAGCGCATTGACCCCCATTTTTTGTTTTGATTTTTTAATTAAGCTATATGTATAAATTCTAAAAATATACTTAATAAAAAATTCTCATTACTTTTAATGGCAGGATCCAGCCTCCTTAAGCTAGATGAGTCACCAAAGCACACCTGCCATACGACATACTAAACTGGGGAGAAGCCAAGATCATAACTTTTACAGTAGACGGATACCAGGAGGCTACCCACACCGTTTTCCGGGTGCTATTAGTACGAATGCCCCACTTGCTATGATCCTAAACTAAAGACCGAAACTCATCCTCACTGTACTAATTTTACTTACCATCAATTACACGAGGAAACCTTAAGAAGTTCGTTTTAAGAGGAAATGGGTTACTCTGTACCAGTATCTGGGAGCACGGAGTCGAGCAACGATTGGAAAAAGATGTCCCTCTTCAGAAAATCTTACGACACCCGGACATTCAAATCCCTGAAACCCCCGTGAAGCCCTGTACGGAAGCCATACCAATGCTACACAATTGTATTGTGAGGAAGGATACATAAGATTTGTGTTCCATATATTCTTTAGTTTTAAACACAAATCTTTTTTTTCCTCTGGGTTATCCTAAGTTCCTTATAGACCAATTCAATGACGTGAGAACTTATTTCGGCTTGATTCATTTCCGGAGCTTACCGCCCCGAGGCCTCTTTCAGCACGTCTTACCTTATAGCTCTGAGCAAAGTTATCATTTCCCTTATGTCCAACCTGTGCAGAAAAGCAGGACCCCACACCTCCCCACAGATGTCAACACACTGACCTGGAACGCAGTCTCTCGGGCACCTGGATGACCACGGAACTACACAAAGCCCTGAACAAAGGGTATACATTAGACCGCATTTACAAGGTTTGGTATTTCTCATAAAAACGGTAAGGATTAATTTAGACCTAACATCGATACCTTCCGAAATACCAAAAAGAAAGCGTTCAAACTGTCGGACGGTGGAAAAGAAACAAGACTACATTTGTGATGTGTTTAATCGAGAAGGCATCATGATTGTGTTTAATCGAGAAGGCATCATGATGGACCTTTTTAGTATCGAAAAAAATTCTGTATTAAGAACTATTGTCGAACTATTTTTAAATTGCATGTGGGGAAAATTAGCTCAACGCCTATTACCAAAACTCGATACTTGACCAAAGAGGAAAAATACAAGACCTCTTTCAATACTATATACTCAATACTAATAATTTCTACCTTAGAAATCAAATGAGTAGAACTGGTAGAGAAAACATAGCAACCAAACTCGGACATAATACTAGTTAATTTTCAAGTGAATAGCAATTCGTGGAGGAGTGCCGTTTCGGAAAGGTGTTGCTAAAATGTTTCTCTACTGGTCATGCCTGGTTACATCTGTGCGAGTCTTTTTACAAACTTTGGGAGATCGGGTCCTATATTTCGATACCGACAGGATACGTGTACCAGTACGTGGAGGGACAATTTAAGCCGACTATCGTCAACAGATTAAGACCATGAACAGACGAATTAGACGGGTATCATAACATCAAATGTTTGTCCGGAGGCCATAAAAACTACTCCTACCTCACTCAAAAGGGAAATCCGCATGCAAAGTCAAATAAATTGACTCTAAACTTTCGGGCCACTAATATCATGTCACAAGAGACTTTAGAAAAAATGCTCAAGAAAGAAATAAATGAAGGCAATAAAACATTGAATTGTATTAATGTTTAGTTCTTTTTTTTAAAACCCAAAATTGTAATACATATAAAAAAAAGAAAGACATCCTCCTAAAACTTCAGTCATGACTGATCATTATAGGGACTATGCCCTGGTATTCAAAACGTCAGCTACATTTAAACATGGGTGGTCCGATTCTTTAAAGGGGTTAATACCAAGGTTAGCACGAATTACTAGGGTAGTGAGAGATAGGACAGTCTGTTTTCATTTTGGTATGATCTTTACCAACTGGGATCCTGAGGGCAATAGTTGCGTAGAACATCCTATTGGAGCCCTAATTGTCCTTTTATTTATTGATATAAAGGACGGAACTTGGTGATGAATGTGTTTATTATCGCTTTACAAAAGCATGGAAATAAACCTTTGTCTCAAATAAAACCTCTGCAGGCCAAAACAAAGAATCCAAAGAGACCCAGGTTTGAGAAAAATGTCACATTTGTTGAGAGGAAAAAAAAAAAACAAGTAGCTTTTTTATTCTTCTTGACATGTGTGTTGTACTGTGTGTGCTCCTGCATTCCAGCATTGTCCCATCTATATACCGTGCCGACGTCAAGACAACGCAGCGTTTATATCTCTGTTGACTTAAATATAGGACTGGAGGAAGAGATCTCTTTATATGTCATCATGCAACCAGACGAGAAACTACGCTCTTTTCAACTGAAACAAGAATTTACCGTGATGGTAGCAGAACCATCTAAATCTTGGAAAACCGAATTCGTCAAGAAATTAGTGGAAAACTTACACTGGATCACCCCGGTGTCATTCATCCGTAATATTCCGTAAGACGACGAAAGGTTAGTGACCAATTTGAGTATTCCTCACTTACTTAATGGGAGGAAAAGCAATCATATTGATCATGGATTGGTTTATCCTTTAAGCTCATCATCGGAAAACCAGTGCGATTTACATCACTCTTAATTTATTTGATCACGCAGCGAAGCATCGCACGATTAGTTGAATGTTCATTATGTAGTCTTGTTTATATATCCCAGAGACAAATCTCTAATCTGTGTATTGAGTTGTCGACAGTTAGCCCTGCCTCATTTGATGTCAGCTTACCAGGAAGCGTCCAGTGCCCTTCACGAGTATCTACTAGTAGACCTGAGTCCACAATTCACAGACATTAGGTAAATACAGATTGAGAAGTCGACTGTTTCATATTCTTACTGTACACATGCCACAAAAGTACAAATAAAAATGTACCATCATCACACCTGTCATTTATGACTGAACAGTCATCATGGCTCAACCTCTCTCAGTCAAGATAAGAATAGTGAAGACGTTACAGCGGGAGCAGGATGCCGCCAAGCGTGTCCATGTAATCGAATAAAGGCTTGGAATTAGTTTGTTACGGGGGCTAGGAATTTATCTCGTGGTGTATTACACATCGATAAACAGACACAGCGACTTATCAACAATCATTGTCACGATTTCAGTCTCATTGCCGATTAATCGACCAGTGATGAGGACAGGAAAAATGTCTTTTAAAGTGTGGAGGAGCAGGGTTTCTTGGATCATCTTTCGTCACCTATTCATGATCAATTCTTCGTAAGTATAGCATTTTTAATGTTACAATGTTCATATCTTTATAAGCACATCGAGGTATATCAAATTTTTTTTAATGGCTAACATGTGATACTTTCATGCTGAAGGTAACTTTTTAGAACATTTATTTTTCACAATTAATTTTTACACATAAACTTGTTTTTACCTAAAACGTCATATAATGGACTTTGACGAAGACAAAAGTTTACTATATCAAAATCATGCTATAAAAATCATGCTACAAATGTATGATGTATATGTGTATCAGTAACTGAAAAAAATTCGACATGATTTTATTAATATTTTCATTGAAGCAATCATGCAATTATAAGATTTATAATGAAATTAAAGTTATATTAAAATACATCAAACATTATTATTATCTATTATACCAATGTTCAAGCAAAGTGATATGCAATCAAATAAACTAATGATGAAACAAAAACAATACGCAAAATAATGATAGACATATTTCAAAGTACATAACTTCAATTTCTTTATTAAAACTTCAGAATTCTTAATCAAGGAATATTGACAGTTAATTTTTTTTAAAGATGTTTTTAAAAGTAGGTTTTATTTTAAAGTTAAAAATAATGAATCAATACTTTTTTACACATGTATTGAGTATTGTGTTTACTGTTTTGAAAACTGTTGATTTAAATTTTTAAAAAATCAACATTACATGCTTATAGCAAAATTCTAGGAACAAATTAAATATTTTTAAAACGTAATGGTTTGTTCGATATTTTCACACGTTTAAGGAAGAAGCACAAGAAAATGCATATTTCTACACATCAGGTTCAATTTAACTTCTGCATTTCATCTCATTGCCTTTTCACTAAAAAAGGCCCTTAACAACAGACATGGGAGCCGAATTAATACTTGATAATGTTCATATGAAAATACTTTTGAAAATGCAATAGTTTAAAGTTGTAAGACATTGTTGAGAGTGAAAAGAACTCGTCCACTTTGAAGTTTACTTGTAGGCCGGAGGAGGTTGGTAACCGGTAGGAGGGGCTTGCTGTTGTGGGGGATGTGCATACTGTGGGTAAGCGGCCTGAGTCCCAGGAGGGTATGCAGCTGTGTTGACAAAACCACCTCCATATTGCACACCTTGATTATTAAAAGAGAAATGTCATTGAATACCATTCTATATGCATGTATTTATTCATATCTCTCAAACCAGTTAATTTTTTCTTGACATTCTTTTATTTTTAATTTTATTTATTTATTTTTTTTGATTTTTTTCTTTTCCTTTTCTTTTTGTCCTTTATTTTGGAGTCATCTTTGTAGATGTTGATTTCAATGACAGTATGATTTTTTTTTTTAAAAGTGAAATATCTAGTTGCAATTTAACATCACTATGTAGTTCCTAAGATTTTTTTAGTTCAGTTAACATACCTCCAGTTGTTGTGGAAACGACGGCTACATTAGATCCTCCTGGTTGGAGTACTGTCCCCCTAGCCGCCAGACGGCGTGGTCTGATGCAGCAGAAGAAGACCAATAGTCCAATGAGTGTTGCTATGCCAATCAATGTTCCAATCACAGCTCCCACGATGGTACCAACGGGTCTAAGAACAAATATGAGAACATACTTATAAAATTAAATGTGTTTTCCTGATAGGTATTTGAGAGGATCTCATAAATATTTTATATACTATATCAAGAAGGTTTTAAGAGTTTGCATTACAGATATTTTGAAACTTTCAAGGGACTTTTGTTTTCATAACACTGAATTTAATTCACAATACATGTATATGTTTAATAAAGCTATTGGATACACTTTACTAGTATTATTTCCAGTGTTACAAGAATTGAGAACTGTTAAATGAGTCAAAGGTTCATTCACTTTTCTAAGCATCAGCATCTATTATGCATATATGGCTATTGACTATTTTGTAAAATGAACAATGAAAGCCTCTTCAGGATGTATAAGATTTAGGTAAAGATGGTCTAAAAGTTTTAGAAAAGAAACAATTGTTTAACGGCAAAATCCTGTCACCTGAACAGATTGAAAGACATCTTCAAATCATTTTATGCAGATTCCTCCGTTTTTAAATTGAGATATATGTAAGGCAGTCATTACATTTATCAAATAGCCATTGCTTCTTACTATATAGAGCTTGAACAAGTCTAGCTTACACATAATAATAGTAAGAGCAGTAGTAACTGTAGTAAGTCGAGTAGGAGTAGTAATAGCAATAACGGGCTTCCACCACACCTGAAAAAAAAATGTCAAAAATCAGTTATACCAAATCATTTAAAGAACAACAACGGGCTTTCGAAGCAGATGATAGAAGTCTATACAAAATCATTGAAACAATAATAACGGGCATCGACAAAATCTGAAAAGAGAAAACAAAAAAAATTCAGTTATATTAAATCAAAAAATGACGATAACGAGCCCTGTTATTGAAATGGTTACGATTTTAGGGGGGAGGAGTGTTCAAGTTGTTTACTCGGCATATATCACTGTACACGAACTGACAATGCTGCTGATGTGTTTGTTTTGCTGTCTAACATTTCTACTCTGAGTTTTCTGGACTGTAGTTTTGCTATTTTTCATTAATACAAATCACAATTTCCACTTTTTAAAAATATTTAGAATAGATTATACTTTGTGAAAAAGATACTTTGCGTATCAATCAAACGAGTCCTTAATTTCGTAGTTTTAGAAATTTTCAGATAAAAGAAGTTTGCAATTAGCAAATATCCTTTTATAAAAATATCGGTTTGTATTGTTCTAAAAACATGTAAGTCATGATATTATACAGATGATTTCAGAAAATATTAACTTCAAAAGTGTGTCTTAGCACCTTTAAGAGTCTACAAAATTATAAATCAAAATGTATGCATGATGCAGAAAGGTATGTATTTCCCATTTAAGTTAGACACGGAATTATTTGTTAAAAGTTATATAAATTATGTTGCAGCTAAATTTTTAGCAGAATGATAGGCTTTAAAAACGGTTTTGATGTAGCATAAAACAGTTAGGTACTAAAATTAGACAAACTAAAAAAAAAAAAAAGAACGATTTGGAAAAAAAGTATTTTACTGATGCCGTAGAAAGACATTTCCAGGAAAGAGAGCAACAGCAGGTATTTACGCCTATCGGATATCGCATAAAAAAAACAAGGCACTTGGTATTCATTTTCACATACTAAGAAATAGAATATGGTTGTAAAGAAAACTTAACTTAAAACTCTTAACAATACATACAGGTCAGAAATATACAAAAAAGAAAAAAAAGCGTATCGTGTTCCATCCCCTGGTGCTTACATATATTTCTGTGATTGATGCTCTTATTGCTGATGTCAAATTATGCATGATTTCGCATGTAGGAAAAAATCTAATAAATTTCCTAATTGTAAAAATACTTTCATTAAACTGTAGGTACAACCTACATGGTAAAATGTACAATTGCTCTGTAAATATTGACACCTATTTAATTTAATTTTCGGATATTGGGTGGATTTTTTATTTTTTACTCTAATGGGCTTCCACAAAATCTCAAAAAAAAAAATGATGCCAGCCATACTAGATCATTTAATTAGTAACAACAGTTTGTAAGAATATCTGGAAAAAAAAATTGAACGGAAGTCAATCACACCAAAATATTCAAATAACAGGAACAGCATACCAAACAATTAAAATAAAAACGGGCTTCTACAACATCTGCGAAAAAGAGAAGGAAATAAGTTAACGAAAATCACTGAAAGGCCTTCTCAATAAAAAGTTTTCGGCAATCACCTCATTAGATACACTGTACTACAAAAACTGCAGTTAATTTATCACAGTGTAAACATAACAGGTAGATAAACAAAGATTGTCACTACCAAGTATTTAAACAGGAGACTAGGGATTTCATTTAGTTTAGATAAACAACACACGCTATACAACAATTTTGTCCTTATTAACCCAACACACAATTGAATCTTTTAAAATGAACACAAAATGTCGAGCTAAATAAGATATTTCAAGTTATGTTTCCTTCTCCAGAGTGTTTAGTCTTAATTACTAGAGGTCACTAAAATGCTTCCTCAAAAATTATATTCCTAATATACTCATTTAATCTTTCTTTCTTTTTTTTTCATCTTTCTTTGAAGTTTTTTTTTCATTAAATTTAAAGAAAAAAAAATTGATTTGAAAAATAAATTGAAATTCAACGCTGACTTCTTATTTTAAAAATCATAATCCTTGTGATAAAATTCCAGGGAGGGATATGTGACACACGATGAAAAATTTGACGCAGCATCAATCGGAAATCTTAATCATGAATTCCTTAATACTATTCTTTCTTGCATTTTGTAAGTATCATCATTCTATTCTAAATCGATTGTCAACGGTGGTTTAATAAGCTTTAGATCTCATTCATGACACATTTTAAGTTCATATTGATAGTAAATCACCTGACTTCGTTGAATTGAAAATTGATAAATTACAGCAGGAAAACAACTTGATAAAAATTCATTATCTTCCTGGTATAAAAATGAAAACAGTAATTTAATGTCTCTCTAAGTATGTTTGTTTCCTTTTTTAATAAGTTTAACAAGTTGCAAGTTTCTAAATAAATTATTCACAAAACGATATATTTGAAAAACCAAAGTAAACAGCTTTGCAATAGTTAGAAGGTGAATGCATGTTTCTTATCCAGATCTATGATCCTTTTTAATTACAGAGGGTTTTTCCTTGATAATTATAATATTAAAAAAATATAAAATTAGCGTTTCTTTATTGCTTTCAATCAGAATATGTCGAATGTCAATGAAAATTGGTCTTACCTAAGAGTAAAAAACTAGCAAACAAACCAAGTAAACTCGGACAGGAGCACGCCATCTTTGTGTTTGATAAGGACAATAAACATCATGTGACAAGGAAAATTAAACATGTGCTATCACTTATAAGTTGAGAAAATTATTGCGTTTGTGGGTATCTTCAAGGGTAATTTCCAATCACCAACAATCCGAAGGATATTTTCGACTATTGCTTCCAAACTTTTTAATTACAAGAAAACTTTATAGGGCCTTGATATCGAATATCTGAAACATAATCCTCCATCGTGTTCATGTTCTTCTTCACCCTATAACTATAGTCCTGATGGACACGTTATTACTGGTGACGTAAATATGGTTAAAAATAAGAACCTTATATCACTAATTTTAAAAGGTCCTAAATATAGGGAACCCTGATCCTTCAACTGGCGTCGGAATTTCATAAATATTATGGATTCTGTAGAGGATTATGCTAGGCGATGGGCCAGACATGAAAAATAAGACATTGACACTTTGTCAGAATGGATTAAATGTATCAGATGTATGTTAAAATCGCGCATCAATATTATGGATTCTGTAGAGGATTACGCTAGGCGATGGGCCAGACATGAAAAAGAAGACATTGACACTTTGTCAGAATGGATTAAATGTATCAGATGTATGTTAAAATCGCGCATCAAAAGATTGAGGGGCAATATGAGAACCATCTATCCTTCTGTATTCAATAATCCAGAAGTGAAAATAGAATTAGATAGATTACATGATCAGTACGTGCTGGTCCCTGCTGACAAAGCAGGTAACAACATTGTCTTTGTTTGTAAGGCTCATTATATTAAATGTATTTTAGAGGAACATGGATTTAATTCTACAAGTGGTAATCCAACTTATACTCATAGTTCCCTTTCTAAGGAAGATATTCTTCAAAATCATATGTCAGTTTTGAATATTTTTAATATTCCAAACAACCAAAATAAATTTGAATTACCATATTTATATTGGATTCCGAAACTTCATAAAAATTCTTACAGATATACGTAGCATGTCCTAGTAAATGTTCAACCAAGCCCCTTTCTTCAGTCCTTACTAAGATATTAACAGTAGTGAAAGAGAAACTTCAAGAGTACTGTGCAACAATATATTGGAGAAGTGGTGTAAATCAGATGTGGATACGTACTGTGCAGCAATGTATTCGAGAAGTGGTGTAAATCAGATGTAGATACTTAAAAATTCCAAGGAACTTTTGGAAAATTTGAAATCACATGATTTTACCAAAATCAACAGCTTAAAAACATACGACTTTTCAACTTTATATACAAGCATTCCCCACGATAAATTAAAGTCCAGGCTTTTTGAAATCATTGACAGCTGCTTTTTCAATAAAAACTGAACTCGTATATTTACTTACCTTGTCATTGGTCATTAGCAAAATTGTTTTGTTAAAAAACATTTTGATTGTACACACAAGTACTCTGAAGTTGACATTAAAAAGATGCTTGAGTTTCTGATTGGCAATATCTATGTGGTTTTTGGAGACCAGGTCTTCCAACAATCTATTGGAATTCCCATGGGTACCAATTGCGCCCCGTTATAAGCAGACCGTTTTTTGTATTCACATGAAGCCTTCAACTCGACATTTAGATATATCGACGACGTATTGTCAATTAACAATGGCTATTTCTTTTCTAATGTTGATACGATATATCCCGGTGAGCTTGAGATAAAAGATACCACAGAGTCTGACACATCTGTTTCATATTTGGATATTTTACTTGAAAAAAAAACTTTAATGGTAATCTAACAACCAAGCTTTATGATAAACGTGATGACTTTAACTTTTCAATCGTCAACTTCCCTTACTTATGCAGCAATATACCTTCATCACCTGCATATAGTGTATTTATCTCTCAGTTGATTCGATACGCAAGAGCATGCTCTACGTATGTACAATTTCTAAAACAGGTAAATTATTGACAAACAAGTTGATGAAACAAGAATATCAGCTGTCTCGTTTAAAGTCATCATTTCGTAAGTTCTACGGTCGATACAATGACCTTGTCAGCAAATACAATTTATCATTGAGTCAATTGCTGACTGACGTTTTCATACTGATTGTTAGGCCATTATTTACACACTGAATTGTCGACGGATTTTTCCGTTATTTCCCGATCATGACAAGGAGCACACGGCGGGTGTGACCCGTCGGCAGGGGATGCTCACTCCTCCATTGCACCTGATCCCACCTCTGATGTTTGGAGGTCCGTTTTTGCTCTGCTCCTATTTTGTATTGTTTAATGGACTTTTATACTCGATTACTCTTCGTTATTTCCATATATTTCATTCCTTCTAAACACAGTTTATCAGTTTTCGCGTACAAAATTTGAGATATTAGATTCATTTTTGTGTACGATTACTCTAACTGAACATTCCTTTTTCTCGTGTCACGGAAAATATTTCGCTTGGGAATATTGTGTACGTGTATTGTTTTCCCAGAAAATTTGAATTAAAGGTCAGATTCACGGTATAATTGCTGCCTTGATACATGTACATGTACCTGGTAGCTTGTAAATAAACACGGATATTTTACAGTCGAACAATACATGTTCATATTCATCCTGGATGTGTATGATATTCCACATTTTCTCCTTCGGTGACCAATAAAATACTATTTTGATTCCTAACATTAAAGTCTTAAGAAAAAAAAACCCTGAGTAACATTATTTCAAAAAGAATATTTTGTACTCTTTTGCATGTTTTGAGTGAGTGCTACTTTTTTCATAAAAGAAATTAATATAATTATATTTGTTCACATATTTCTTTTTTGAAATTTCATCGATCAAAAATACAAAAACGGTTCATATAATGCCCCCAAATTGCTTACAATAATTTATGGATTTTTTGCATAAAAATGATTTTTTTTTTTGGAACCTATCATTTAATGTTTGCTGTCATTTTCTATGTTCAGTGACATTAAGCGAGGTTTTGTGTGAGCGTAAACCATTTTTTGGAATATGTTTTCAATCTGCATGAAATTTTCAACCTTCAACATATGAAATACAATCATGCAATAATGCCATATTTCCTTTCGTTTAATTCGTTTTGATAAGAACTTAATAGCCATTAATTTACACTGTTGTTCGGAAAAGTTATTTTATGGCATATATATCATATTACTAGATGACTGAAGTATTTCTGCTGGTTATTACCAAAGTGATTTGTTGTGATTAATCAATATCGTCGAAAGTAGCTCTCAAGCAGTCAAAAGAGCCGTTGATTGTCAAATTACTTCTCTGGCATCCGTACTTCTCAGTTACTTGGTAACGGAAATTTGAATGGACAGCTGGAGTGCTATATTTGTAATAAGCAATCGCATGTCAGTTTTTATTTATTCTTCAAAATGTCTTGTTTACATTTTCGCATACATTTGGCATAAGTGTTTTTTTTTTTTTTTATTTATACTTGCTTCGAATTATATAAGGATTATATAATCATTTCACTTCACTTGAAGTCAATAATTATAACAGTTGAAGTTTGATATATAGTATATTTGCCTCATCGATACATATATATAAATTGGGGAAAATTCAAATCTATTCAGTAAACAGATTAAGCACAAGCTTACCTGGAAATTTTACTATGATTTATTTCTAATATATATTTTGTATTTATAATTTTTTTTGTATTTTTTATTTTAATTCTAAAATGTCTTCCATTCGTTATGACTGATTTTTTAAAAAAATGTTTCAATTTTTATTGTACATGCATGTATATTTCATCTGTACAAGATGGCAGATTTGCTATAGAAAACAATTAGAATTCTTATACATTAATAAACATTATAGAACACAATTAGTGTTTTATATCTCACAAACTGAAATTTATGTAATGAAACTAGATAATATTCAAAAGGATATTACAGAACACAAATTAATAAAAATTTAAGAAAACAATTTTTAAAGTGTACATTGCAACGCAATGGACAACTATTCATAAGAAAATGGAAAAAGATTTCAGTTTTATATTTGACATATCAGATGATATCAATCCAAAATGATAACAGCAATGATGCTGAAGGTATGCAAGTAAGTCGACGGTCTCTTATCATCATTTTTACTTTCATTTCATGCTCTGCACAGTTGTTTTTCACTACAAACAAGAGATAATTATGCACTTAACCTGTACGAGAGTTTTTTTTAATTGTCAGATCTTTGTTATTTCAAGATGTTTGTAGAACCTATATCTAAATACTTGTGACTTGTTGACAGGGGATGCTGAGTCCCCCATGGCACATGATCCCATCTTTAATGTTCATGGGTCAATATTTGCTCTGCTTCTTTTACTGTGCTAAACGACAACAAAATTTCAATATGTTCTCACTAGACAGTGGACATCAAATACCTCCCATCGTTTGGAAATATTGAGATAACAGAATTTTAACTTGTACCGTTATATTGATGTATTTTATATATCATATTTTCACACAATTAAAGAAATAAATTAGATCTAAACAGGTTATGCATTTTTAAAATATACGTAAAGGTCAAGTCAGTTCCGGCGTAATAGGCATCAACAAAGAAAAACAAGTCCTCTGCTAACATTTTTTACTCAATTCAACTTTTCGTACATGCAAGATCTTACACGATTCTAAGATAAGAGCATCTTATTTTATTGTTCATGTGGAAATCAAATTTTAGTTCAGCTAAAAGTTTTGCTTAATTTCTTCGTTGCATTCTATTTTGCCGACATGTTTCGAAGGTTTTTTTTAATACCCCCTCGCCCTTGAAATGCGGGCGGTACATAGTTATGTGAGTGTCTGTCCTTCCGTAGGTGTACCCATCTCTTATCCGAAACTTTTCGTATACCACTTCATAAAATTTAAGAAGACTTTCACAGAATCTTCTTTACATAGTGCCATTGTGCACCATTTATTTTATTTTTTTTTTATCTGGCAGATACATAGGGATACCAATAACAAATTATGGACACTGCCATTCTCCCTCTGATGAGTTCCCATCTCCTACTCGCAGCTCCACCTATACTAATGAGAAAAAAACCCTGTCGGTTGAGACTTTCACAAATTTTTTGTTACATAGTGCCATTTGCCCACCTCCTGATTGGTCTGATTGGACATATATTTGCGGTTTCCGGTAGCAAAACAAGGACTTTGGCATTATACTCATATAAACCGGGATGTATCGTTTAGTGAGCTCTGTGCTCGAAGTACCTCGATTTTTTCCCCAATCAACAATATTGTAAAAATATTAGCATGATTGCTTAACTTGTTCCAGTTAATAACGAAAAAAATAATTTTAATGATATAAAATAGATAGAGCATATGATTACAAAAATGTAATTTTACTATTTTTTTAAAAGGTAAGAATCATTGTATGTTATTCATTTTGAAATTAATAACATTTTTATATATGGCACAAGTGTAATTATGCAATGCTGTATTTATTTCACAGAGAGTTTTTTTTTCATCTTTGAGTTTATTTGTAAGGTGGTGGGGGTTGGTATCCAGTCTGGGGAGCTTGCTGTTGTGGAGGATATGTGTTCTGTGGGTAGGCGAGCTGGGTCCCCGGAGGATAAGCAGCTGTATTGACATAACCACCTCCATATTGCACACCTTGTAGAACAAAACAAAAAAAATGTCATTGAGTGTCATGAAAACGGTCTTTGACATCGTCTAAGTATTTCTCATATATCATTAAACAATGTTAGTTTGGGTTTTCAATTTGATTTTTGTTGTTTGTTTTGGAATATTTTACCTGCTTTTTCCACTCTTCTTTTCATGAGTTGTTTGTTGTGGCCTTGTAGTTGCATAACATTATAGTGTAACGACATACACAATCATGTCTTACAATAATCAAAAACTGATATCAAAAGATGTTTAATTTCATATAAAATTAAAACTGATTCGTGGAAATTCTTAGAAGAATTAACATATGAAATTTCTGATAGCTTAGGATTTATCTACAAACCTCCAGTTGTGGTGGAAACGACGGCTACATTGGATCCAGCTGGTTGGAGTACTGTACCCCTAGCCGCTAGACGGCGTGGTCTGATGCAGCAGAAAAAGACCAATAGTCCAACAAGTGTTGCTATGCCAATCAATGTTCCAATCACAGCTCCCACGATGGTACCAACGGGTCTTTAACAAAGGTGAGAACAAGGTTACGATATTGAACGTGCTTCTTTATAAATATGTTTGTTCTAATTTATATTCCTTGTCAATTAGGAAATTGTAAAGAGTTAACTTACTTAATAATGCATTCATATTGACATTTTACATACCCCCTTTAATGACTGCATATAAAACCTTTACATTTACAATAGACGGTTAAGGCATTGTTCATTTCTTTTCACTTCGTCCCCGGTGGCACAGTATAAAATACAACGGAATTATAAGCCTCCAATGTATTCACCCTTCTGACAAACTCCTACCTTTAATGGCTATTAATATTATTTTTTCACGAACATTGAAGCTTTCTTCCTGTATTTTGATCTGTTTGAGTTATTTTTATATTTTTCAAAGTGTTTGCCTGTGGATTGTCTTTGATAAGAAACAACGAATGTATTACAGCAAAGGTCCGACAGGGTTAATTTGATAGAAGTGCAAACTATAGTCTGTATAGAACATGAATAAGACTTGCTTACACATAGTAGTATGAGCAGTAAAAGTCGTAGGAACCAGAGTAGTAGTAATAATAGCAATAACGGGCTTCTACCACATCTAAAAAAAGAAATAGAAGTTAGTCGTGCCAAAGCAGTGAAAGAACAGTTGACTTTCACAACATTTGAAAAAGAAAACAGTCCAAGTCATTTAAATGAAAATAATGTTTTTGTTTCCTGCCTCACATTGAGAAGACTACACACAATAGACATGCTATTCAGAAGTATATTTAGGACAAGGAGTCGACAAGAATAAGTTATATATTAAAAAAAGAAATCAAAAAAGGGAAAAACAAACAAACAAAAACAAAACAAATCAAAAACAAAACAAACATCAAAATAAAACAAAACAACAGAAATACACACACACACTCAAAAAAGAAAAAAAAAAATGGAAATTTTGATGACCATTTTTTATAACTTTTTAAAATTAATCTTATGCAAGGTAAAAAAAAATACAATAAAAATATATCCAAATAAATCAAAAGTGCTTTAATAATACAGTTATTATCATATTCATTTTTTAACTTAAAGGAGAGATAACCCTTCACCAAGCTATGTTTGATTCTGGCGTAGTAAAATGACCTCGCAGCGATATGACGTCGACTTTGAAATGCTTTGCTTGATTTCTTACTTTTAATTAAAAATTTATTTGAACTCCATAAAATACAAAAATCACCAAAAAAAAAAAAAAAAAAAAAAAAAAAAAAATTAAAAACATAAAATTTTTCTTTTTACAACTATTTTCTGTCACAGTCTTAAGGTAATTTGAATGCTGACGTCTTAATTTTTTTTTTCATTATTTACGTTAAATATATAACTACGCTTTGTGTTCTATATCCCCAGACTGACTTTTTTAACATGCCCGTCGTATGCATGTAAAAATATGACCACCATTCCACAATACCTTGAATTTTTAACGTTTTCAAGTTGGCGTAAGGATTTCATTGTGCACTGTTAATATTTGCCCAGGGTAGCATCCTAAGGTGCAAATGATATTTTTACATTTCCAGGTTGTGAATTTAGTGTGTTAACGATAAATTAATCTATCTTAAATATGACATCGTGAAAAGAAGGAGTTTTTGACATTATAACGTTGAATATATAAACCTCAAAACTGCTAGGCTAAACAACATGTCCTTATACCCCGGGACAAATGATTCAAAATCACACCATGGAGCAGTTCTTTGTATATTATTGGTACAATGATTTTAAGTACCCCAGGTAACGGCTACAAAAATATTAACTTTCAATCCTTAGAACCACATTCCAGATATGTGACGTATGAAGGAAACTACATAGCAAATCAACCAGTATTCTATTTTACCATTAATGAACATTATCAAGCTAAACAAAGTTTCTTTACAGGCTGAATTTTTAAAGATAATGGAATGCCATTCTTCATGCAGAGTCATGTCAAATTTAAAACCCACAATAATACTGAATCACATATCTCTCGTTATTGTTATCTTTTACAGGAAAACAAGCTGGTAAACATTTGTTATCTTAATAACATTGATTGTAGCTATCTAAAATTCCTCTTTATACACTGGTTTAGTTTTTTCGAACTGTTCAATGAATTGTTTAAATTAATCACACGAATTATATAAAGTTTTAAAAACAAAGAAACCAGTTTTACAATCGCTGATTAGGGGAAATGCTTAGTTTTGCTTCCAGATCTGTACCCATTTAAAATTACTTCTGGAAAAATCGGCATATTTCCTTCCTTAATTATTTTAGCATTTTATATATTATATCTAACTGAACATTTTCTAATCAATATCATTCCTTGAATATTGGATCACTAAAGAAAACTGGACTTACCCAAGAATAAAATGCTGGCGAATACGCCAAGAAGACTTGCACGACAAGACGCCATTTTGTTTTAGATAAGAGCAGCAAACATCACATGACTGAGAAAATATTTAATAGATCGCTTGTATTAGATCGAAAGAAACTGATAATAGTTAAAGGTATATGATCTAGTCTCCGTACACCAACAATGCAAGGAATATCTTTAAAATAGCTGAATAATTTTTCAATCATTGTTTATCGTGGTACAACATCTGAGAAAAAAATGTTATGGTAACATGTAAGTAAATCCTTGCAATGCAAGAGTGGTATAATTTTTGTCCCTGCTTAAATATAGTGTTCTTCATTTCGTCCCTTAAACATAATACTAGATAAGTATTCATCGTTTTATTAACGAGACCAGTTAAGTTAACTACAAGTTAAAAACAAGTTATTTTATTTTCCTCTCAGTTTGCATTCAACCCTGATAAGAAGCTTGCCATGAGATACAAAATTCAAGTTGTTAAATCCATGAGTTAACTTATAACTTCATTGTTTAAAAACGTAATATTGATAATACAGTAAAACATACTTATAAGTAAGTGTCAGGGATGAGTTATTTTGAATTCTTTTTATCCCATAAATCTGTAATATATATTTTTTAAACTTTGTGACATGAAAATATCTTTGTTGCATGCGAAAACTTATTGTAAGACTTTAGCGTGTTTGCTGTAAACGAATTTTATTGTATTATCTCATGAAACTACTTAATGTTTGGATCTTTTTCGCCATGCATGTGCATCTGTTTCCAGAATATTTTTATTTTTTTTTCTTCAAAGTATAACTTTGATGAAATAAATCAACGTTGTCACGGATGTTTCTGTGACCATTAAACATATTTTGTTTTAAATCTACCTTACATCCCGATTTGAATAGTCAGGTGAAAGTGACATATAACTCATTATGGTTTCTAGACTGTTCGAAAAATGTCAATTATTTTGTCAATATTGCGTGTTAGGGTTTTTATCCGCAATAATTTTTCGTCTCACTCTATCCCAGTACTTAAAATTATGATTTTTTTTTCTAATACATTACTTGCTCGAGTTTGAAATAACAGACTTAACTAGTTTTTCTTGTAAATATTTATATGGCTCAAATCATTTTAGAACAGTAACTCTATATTTGTAATTAAGACTATAACCTAGCCCCCCCCCCCCCCGCCCAAAACCTCCCCACTTATCCCCTCCTTTTATTTTTTTTATATATATATATATTTTGAGAAAGAACATATTAGATTTTCTTTTGCAGCATTCAGTGCCTCGTTCCATAATTATAATTTAATTAAGATATTTCGATACAGAATCAACATTCCTATATGTTCTTTAACGTTAAGGATACGTCAAATGTTTATTTTGCTATGTGGATTTAGTATGCAAAGAGACTGTTTCCAGTTGTATTAATTCGTGTGTATAATTAAAAAATTGGCGGTAAAAATATTAATATAACTGACCAAATCATTTCTAAACACCTTTACAAGGATATCCCATTACCTGTACTAAGATAGATTCATCGAATTTAAATGGCTTTGCTTCTTTTCTTGAAGCGCTTCTGTTAATGTAATGCACACTATGATTTAACTATGTAGTTAAAATTGATGATAATTTCCTAAGATCAGTTACTTTTGGATACCAGAAAACAATACTTGCATATCCCATTGATTTAAGACACTTCACTATATCATTGACAGGAATATTTTATGAAATAGATGTTTGAAATTAATTAAGCAATGTATAATGCAGAGTGTTTGATTTAAAGCTGTTCCAACGATTTGCCATTTTGCGTTAAATCCACAACAATGCCTTTTGCAGATAATTGCCTGCTCTACCGAAAGATCACAGATGCCACGCTTCAGAAAGGCATGGACAGAAGATAGACATGACTTTATAATGAGTTTTAAACCAGAGAAGTCTGATATAAAACAAGGGTCGTTCAATAAATAATGCAACAAACATATATACAAACATATATCAAAGTAAATGTAGATCTACTTAATTTTATATTTTCACAGTTCAAACGTTGAAATAAAGAGCTCCTAATCACAGAAAACTCCATGACTTTTCCTATTGTCCTCGCAAAAAAATTCACTTTTATAGTAAGCATGGTAAGTACACTGAGCCGAAAATAGTATAAATGATCTCTGCCAAGAAGATTAAAATGAGAGCGTATGTGAAAACTTCTGTGCATAATCGCCGAAAAACGCATACTAAAGATATGATTTTTTAAATGTGGAAAGAAAAGTCTTTGACGCTGTATAGTTTTCGGATTGATTAAGTACGATGGCCGACAGCGGTTGCCACTTTTGATTCTGAATATTGTCATTTTGTACAGCTTTTTTGGTCAATTTTGGTCGACAAATTACAACTAAACTGGTAATGCTATATGTCCATATACAGTTTTTACATTGACAATTTACACTGGAGAAAATCATTAAAATTCTTTCTTGTGATATGAAATGAAGATACATAAAACAGGTTACTTGAAGGTGATAAGCTTAAGGTTCTAGCAGAACAGCAAGGTCGGGGTGATTACAGATTAGTATTGTCATCTAGATATGCTTTCTCGACAGATTGTAGTAATTAATTCATAAAATTCCATGCTGGTGTACCTGCTGGTCACATCATAAGTAACCAGGATGAAATTTTCCAGGTCTATCAGAAATTTGATTTTGTTCATAATCGGACGTGTCTTTGACGTATGAATTTTGTTTTTTAAACAATGCACACGAGGAAATGATCACATTAGTTACATGTACCTATATTTTCATTCCCGTGCCACATTGAAAAATAATTGGCCGACCAGGTGGAAGTCTTGAGAGGTTGCGTTGGTGTTTCAAGCATTTAGTTATTAATTTTATGTATTTAGAGAGCAAATACAGACTCCCACATTTAAGGTTGTCATTTTATTCTTGCTTAAAACGGGTATATTTCCGTATCTAAAGTTTGGTTTTTGATACAATGATTCCATAAACTTTTGATTGGATGCTCACATGTAGAGCTACTAAATCCTGTTTTTCTACCTCTACATAATAGGTAGAATCGAGTTGTCTCATACACTTTGAGGATCGAGATATATCCATGATATTCATGTATATCCATTACAACAAACGTATTACTTTTATTCGCCTTTTTAATTACAATCCCAAGAATATCTTTTTAATGATACAACAAGGTGACAGAATGACGATTTATGTCTAATCTAGGATTAACTGGGTTACGATATTTCAGACTAATTGAGGGTGAAAATCATTAAAATGCTCCTTATCTCTTTCAAGCCACCTGTTTTATGTATCTTAATTTCATATCACGCGAAAGAATTTTGATGTTTTTCGCTGGTGTAAATTTTCAGTGTAAAAAGTGTACATGTACATATAGCATTACCAGTTTAGTTGTAATATGTCAACGAAAATTGACAAAAACGCTGTACAAAATGAAAATATTCTTAATCAGAAAGTGGCGGCCGCTGTCAGCCATCGTAATTAAGAAGTTCAAAAGTAAAAAAAGAGAGTTAAAATATAAGAGTCAAAGTGGGTGAAAGGTGTCATTTTCTTAAAATTACATAATAGAAAACTTGCATAAAATGTGCCTACGGTCTTTTTAAGATAAAAAGTTTGTTAAGTTTGCATGATGAATGACAAAACATTGGTGCACTTTTTATTTCCAAAAAAATGTGGAATAAAAAAAAGCTATCGTTCTTATTATTGTAAAGAGAAACAAGGGCTCCAAGCATATTTTATAAGTTTTCATTTTTTAGGTCACCTGAGTCCTCAGGTGACCTATTGCTATCCGTTTTTGTCCGTCGTCGTGCGTTAACTTTTGAAAATTTTCAACCTCTTCTCTAGAACCGCTCAACCAATTTCAACCAATTTTGGCATATAGCGTCTTTGGGTAAAGGGGAACAAAAATTATGAATTTCATGGTCCCTTCCCCCCTGGGGCCCAAGGGGTGGGGCTAAAATCACCAAAATAGATGCAATCTTTAAAAATCTTCTTCTTTACACCTGAACATCAAGCAGTCAAACTGTTGACATGATTGTGATAAGCATTGGGCCCTCTACCTAAATTCATGGCCCCAGGGTCAGGGGTTCTGGTGCTAGGGCAGGGCTAAATAGATCATATAGTGAAAGTGCATTATTTCTTTGAAAATCTTCTTCTCTACTCCTGGGTATTATTTAAACAAGCGAAGTGTATGGTATTGACAAGCAATAATGCCTTTTCCAAAATTGTGAAATTCATGGCCCCTGGGTCAGGGGTTCTGGTGTTAGGGCGGGGCTATATTTATTATATAGTGAAATTGCATTAATTCTGTGAAAATCTTCTTCTCTGCTCCTGGGTATTATTTAAACAAACGAAGTGCATGATAATGGTGCACAAGGATGATTTTTCCAAAATTGTGAAATTCATGGCCCCAGGGTCAGGGGTTCTGGTGCTAGGGCGGGGCTAAATAGATCATATAGTGAAAGTGCATTATTTCTTTGAAAATCTTCTTCTCTACTCCTGGGTATTATTTAAACAAGCGAAGTGTATGGTATTGACAAGCAATGATGCCTTTTCCAAAATTGTGAATTTCATGGCCCCTGGGTCAGGGGTTCTGGTGGTAGGGCAGGGCTCTATTGATTATATAGTGAAAATGCATTATTTCTTTGAAAATCTTCCTCTCTGCTCCTGGGTATTATTAAAACAAACTAAGTGCATAGTAATGGTGCTCAAGGATGCTTTTTCCAAAATTTTGAAATTGCTGGCCCCAGGGTCAGGGGTTCTGGTGCTAGGGCGGGGCTATATAGATCATATAGTGAAAGTGCATTATTTCTTTGAAAAATCTTCTTCTCTACTCCTGGGTATTATTGAAACAAATTGAATACATAGTTATGATAAGCAAGGGTGACTCTACCAATATTGTGAAATTCCTGGCCCCAGAGTCAGCGGTTCTGGTGCTAGGGCGGGGCTATATTGATCATATTGTGAAAGTGCATTATTTCTTTGAAAATCTTCTTCTCTACTCCTGGATATTATTGAAACAAATTGAATACATAGCTAT